TCGACAAATAAAATCACATAACATTGATCGGATGCGCAACGCCGATCAACAACGTCCGCAAATAAAGTTTTTTTGTGGATACACCGCCACCAGAACACCAATATTTATTAAAATACGATATAAAGTCTCATTTATCTTAATTTCTATATGATTAAAACATATCTTTATAATTAACTGGATATTTTGATAGTTTCAAGTCCATAGCTATTGTAAAGTAATACACGAAGATGCTATTATTTCACATATATTATTAGATTTTGAAATACACTTCTTTCCTAACTATTATACCTACTTTCTAAAGCAACCATATTCAAAGATAGTTTCACCAGATGCTTACTTCTACTACTTCATCTTATAGATAAAGACACAAAATACAATTTTCATTAGAACAACTTCTTGTTCTCAAATACATAAGAATATTTGTCCAGATCTCTACAAATCAGAATGGAATCGTTGCAGATACTTAATTATACAAAGAAACCTTTTGCCATGTTTAGCAGTTTCAGACACTATCAATAAAATAATTTTCGAACTTGTCGAAATGTCAAAACTAACTCAAAAATACTGGTCTGTTAATAACAACCCTAGATATGTCACAGTTGTTGATCATAACTTTTATTCCTCATCACTTTCAATTTTTATTCATGTCAGTCGGAATTTACAACAATTCGAACATCACCATAGCTTTGCTAGAATTGATTCATTCGTCTCCTTATTCATTTGCGTGCATAAAGAATATGGGCGAAGTATAAAGAAAAGTTGCCATTGCCATTAAAATTATTCTGCGCAAAAATTTTAGGAACCCTAAAATATATTTTGAAAATGGAACGGATGTTTCTAACCTTTAAATCAAGGTACAAATAGTAAAGGTTTGGTTTATGGTGCTCGTAAAACTTTTAGTGCGACGTTTGGAACCAGAAGAGTTTTCGTGTGTCATATCAAATATCGTAATGAATATTTAGTCTTTATGTGGTCTGATCCTTTAACTTATTCTTTTACGAAAATTTATTGAATATTAAAGTAAAAATTCTATTTTTTTGCTAATCCTAAAGCTATCACCACAATGTTAATCTTTGTGTTATGGTCTAGATTAGTCACGCCGCATCGGAAACTCTTCGACGTCTACTATTGAGGTCTTGAATTTGATAAATCTTAAGGGGAGCGTGTAGTCACGTGATTTTTAATAATAAATTGATCGGTATCAAAAATTTTCTGCGCTTTTTCGCGTCAATATCAACACGATAATCAAATAAACTAAACATTAAAAAAAACCACTTTTACTCGTTCTTTGAAACCTAAAAATTCGTCAGGTATAGTTTTATATACACTTAACTGTTATGCTTTGGAAGAAAATATCAAAAGAAGTTCGAAACCTAAAAATTCGTCAGGTATAGTTTTATATACACTTAACTATTATGCTTTGGAAGAAAATATCAAAAGAAGTTCAAAAAAAGTTTAGAATCGCTATATAAAAGTTCAGAATCCATATTGCCGGTGTCTATACTGTGCCTTAAATGATCTACTGCTGCGCCATATATCATACATGTTAAATATCGTTTGAATACATGTATCGAATAGTTTACCTTTTCATATAAATATTAAATAGTCTACTTTTCATTACTTATATTATTTTCATTATATGTACTTATTGAAAGGCGTAGTATAGTATTAGTCAACAATTTTATATAAATAGACCTGTAAGTTGACCTTGAGTCGACAGATTTTGATCAGATAGTTTTCTGAATAAGTCTTAGGACTAGACTTATAACTCTACAAGTTAATAAAGTTACTATTTTACACTTTCAACCTTCTTCTTGTCTTCATCATAGGATTGATCGTGATAACCTTCTACACAAGTGAATCGTGATAAAAGTTAATTTCTCTTAGGAAAGGCCTTTGAGATAATTGTGTTATTAAGTTTATTAATTTTGATAGCTTGGTTTGAGACGATTCCAGGTCTAACACCGGGAAATTTATAATTAAATTTTTTTTTATTAAAAACGATAAAATGCTTTCTATTATTTTATTCTTCGTTAAGTTTAACATTTATTATTATTGTACAATATTTAGATATGTCTTTATGGAAATGGTATCAAGTTTTATGTCAAAGAAAGCCCCATTTTGAAAGTTACCAGTGACCATATAATAGTAGTTGGCTTGTACTTGACAAATCCGTACCCTTAGAAACTTTGAATATACACAACGAACTTGATATTTCTAGCTCTTCAACAACTACGCCATATCTTGATTTAACAGTACATGGTCACCCAAAAGATAATTCTACAAGTACTTGAGTTCCTTTATTAGTCAGTTATACAGTAATAGTTTGTTGGAAAAAAAATTTTTTACGACTTACAATTACTAAAGACAGTAACAATAATTTAGTTTACACATGTGAAGATTACGGAGATGATATTTCTCTTACTAACTTTATACACAAATTCTCTCATCGGAACTTTTTTTATGGGTTGGACGTGATTCAATTCCTGCATTATTAGGACTCAATATCTTAGAAATTGTAATTCAACTCAGGGATGTAATTAATATGGCATATCCAAATTTATTCAATCAAGTTGAAAATATTCATAATGCAATTGTAACTACAAATAGAATAAAAAATAAAATGAAACGAAAAGCAAGAAATTTATTTTTGGAAAATAATACACCTACTTCAATAATATCTGCTACATCTATAAACATTAATTCGGGCATTTAAGTCAATTCTGATGGACTTTCCATGACTCCTAGATCAACGCAAGCACTTGTATGTGAATATGTTTCAGAATGTAACGAGAAATTAATCTGAAGAAAAAATTAAAGCATGCAGAAAATAAATTAGCTGAACGTGAATATGAACAAATAAAGATTCCTTTTATTGTTAACTTATAAGAAAATAAAGAAAATATCAAGAGTAAGATTTCACATTTGATCCAAGAATCAAATATTGGTACTGCTATGCTTATCAATACAGATCAATTCTTCTAACTAGTATTATCTCAATCATGTTTACAATGCTTCACAACACTTGATTCTAAATGTCAATATAGTGCTCATTCTATAGGATTCACTTTCAAAATTTTGGTTACATGCAATTGTGAAAAATATACAGAATATTCTAACGAATCTTTGACAAATTTTTCTTTAGCGGTAGCAAGTAGTGGATTAGTCAGAGGAGTAAATCGTCAATCACTTGAAATGATCTTAGTAACACTTAAAATAACACAGCAATTTACCAAAAAATCTCATCACGAAAATTAAAAAAAATCTTCCATCCAATTTGTGAAAAGGCAGAAAAAAGTGCAAACAAAACTCTTCGATTGGCATGTGAATATATAAAGAAAATTAATGAAAAAATTATGCCAGTAAGCTTTGATGTGTAGTATTCCTAATGAGTTGAATCAAGTTGAGTTTAAAATCAAAATTATCCTACATACTTTTAATTTAAAGTACTTATTTATTATGTGTAACTAAAATTTACAATTATGCATAATTATGCGAGTCAAATATACGAGTTTATGCAAGTCATTTTCAGAACTCTATTGATATATCATATTCACATATAAGAAATGCAAACTAGGCTAGTGAAGAATTTATTTTTTCAAAAAAATTAGATGGGTATTCTTACAAATCTATTCTTGGATTTCATTATATTGAAAAATCACATAAATGCAAAAAGGGAGATAGCGAAACTATTATTTCATATAAAGAAAATTATGACAAAAACTTCAAACAAATAGAATATGCAATTTTAATTGCTATTCTTCGAAAAGTCATACTAGTTTTAGAAGAATTTGATCTGCTATTTGATATCAGAATAGATGGAGATTTGGAAAGTAATAAAACACTTGCAATAGTTAACTAAATATTTGCTGATTTAAAGCATATTACAAAATTAATACGTAACAAAATTTGTTAGTATTATTAAAAATATAAATTCAATAAATCAATAATTATTATTAACTAATTTACCTTATTTTATTTATAGTAAAGAGTGTATAGTAGTATTCTTTTGAATAAGTAGTAATGCAATATTTTAATGGATACATTTATGCTGCTGATGCAAAGAAAGCTGATAAAAAAATAGATGCTTCTAGTGAAAACAAAGTATGTTCAAGTAGAGGGATTAGTTAAACATCTTTATAGAGATCATTCTTTAGCTAGTCGGAGGTTGCTAGATCAAAGTTAATCCTAATATTAAACTGAAAGAATCTAATTTAATTACATATACTGAATCTCAATGACAAACATTTTGCCAAGTTTTGTTTATAGTTTTTCAATTACTAAAAGATCAAGATTTAATAACAGAAATTCTCACCTTATCTAATAAAGCATTCAATAGAACTAAATCAGTATATCTTCTTAAATTGATTGATTATTAGAAGTCATTTGCAGCTCACTATTCATTGACTATAATCCAAAACAATGAGGATATTGCAAATCTTTTAGAATTTATTTATATTGCAGAAGTAGGAAGTTTTTCTGAAAATAATAAAAAAATATCATAAAGATATAACAAGAAAGACAAGCGAATAGAGAGTGTAATAATGAAAAATTAACAAAAAAAAATAAAAGTAAAAAGTATAAAAATATTAAATCAACGAAATAACTTAGAATCTTTTGACTTTAGTCAAGAATTAATACCTTATAGTCACCAGTTTCAAAAAAGAATACAACAATATGAAGATTTTATACACTTATTCACTTGTTATATCAAAAATTTTTTCATTATAATTAAATGTATCTGTTGCCACTCTTTTCCCAAATACATATCTAATGGTTTATGTAAATTATATAATTATTATATTCAAATTTGATATTATGACAGAATTATCAATGAGTCGTATCAGACAACTTTGAAATCACCTGTTCAAATAATCCCTTAAGAGCAATTTATTCTTTAATACATATTTTAATTTTCTTTATTTCACTTATATCAGCAAGAAGTTATTCAATCATATACCTAAGGCCAAGATGTTTTTGCATTAATTCAAATAGGAGGTGGCAAAACTTTTTGCTACGTAGCATCCAGTTTGATATTTTCTGGATTGACAGTAATGATTTCACCATTAAAAGCATTAATTTTAGATCAAGTGGTAATTATATAAGTTTTAACAATTATATTAATTAAATTTAAAAATATTAACTTGCCTTTATCTTTATTTCAGAAAGAGTTAATTAAAGTTGGAATCCCATGTGCAGGACTTTATATAACAATATGGCAATCTTTGGAATATCAAGAGAAAATTTTCCAAGAAATTGCAAGTAAAATGCTTAAAATATTATTGATAATGCCAGAAAAGCTAATACTCAATCAAGGTTTTCATAATATATTATGAAAAGTTCATGAAGAAATAGGAGTTAGATTTGTAATTAATGAAGCTCATTGTATTCTAAAATATAATCATTACAGATAAGAATTACAAGTTTCTTTTTTTTATATATTAATCTAAACTTTTTACATCATTTATTAAGCTTAAATTGGAAAAGCTAGACTGTTAAAAGAGTTTTTTTCCATATACTTCCATTTTACTTCTTACTGCCACTTATTCTCAAGATAATGTAAAAATAATTTGTCAAAATCTCAATATTAATTTTGTGAACTTTAATGTGATTCATAGTGCAAATTTTTCTCGTCTGAAAATAGAATATATAGTGAAAAAAAAGAGTATCTGTGAAAGAAATTTGGTGGAAATAGCTAAAATTGTTGATGAAATTAGCAATGGCCAATACATAATTTATTGTTCTTCTCCAGGCATATGCAATGAATTATTACCTTTATTGCAAGACAAACTAAAGAAATAGCAATTAGTGCTTATCATGAAGGTCTTGAAAGTTTTGAAAGAGATCAAGTTATGCTTCAATGATAATCTCAACTTCTAAAATTCATGATAGCAACAAATGCTTTTAAGTTAGACGTAAATTCGTTTAATATTCGCGTTGTTATACATTATACATTCCCATCTAGTATAAGTTAATATTTGTATATTAAAAAAATTGAAGTATCAGTTACAAGATGATTTACTTATTAATTTTTATTATATAGGTAAATTTATATAAGAATCTAGACGTGCAGGTCAAGATAGAAATCCAGCATAAAGTATTTTATTTTATTCCCGAAATGATATCAAAACATATATACTATAATTACAAGATGTCATAAAAGGTACTATAAATTTCTTTTTATTATGAATAAAAAAAATCTTTTATTTAATATAAATATTTTTCTTATAGTGATTTTGATAATAATGAATCTACATCTATTAAACGTACACTATATCTAAATGAAGGAAAAAGGAAGATATTTGAAATGGTTGTATATTATGAGAGTATTTATGAATGTCATATCTAACAACTTGCAGCTTACTATTCATAGCGTCTGATTTTCAAATTTCGCAATATACAAAATGTGATTGTTGCAAAAACTATCTTAAAGACCATTCAAAATCTGAAAATGTAAAAAATAATATACCAAGGGAACAAATATATTGCACAGTCAAAATTTATCTGATTTAATAAATTGTTAATATGTAACTGGTCATGTGATTTTTATACCATATTTACTATATATTTTCTAAATAGATTATTTATTTATTGTTTTGATTTATTATGTTAAAGATTGCAAAAATCAGATTTGAAAATCTCTATCATTTTCTACTTTGCGTATATGATAGGTCTCGCTAAAGAATTAACTTCTATACTAAAGGGAGGTATTATTATAGCCAAAAAATTAGGCCACAAAAATACTGAGATTGCAAAAGCGATAGAATGTTATCGAATAACCATTATAAGATATCTTGCAGCTTATGAATTAGAAGCACTTTCTAAAAAATGACCAGATTGAACCTGCTTGATCAATAGCCAAAAAAGGCAAAGATTGAAGGTAATAGTTCTCAAAATAAAGAACTAAGATGAAAAAGTCTAGTAAAGATCCCGAACAATATACAAATATATTAGATTTGAGTTTGTTTAACAGTTATAAGAAATTTTATCACATGTTAGATTTTTATTTGTTTAACCAATAGTTTAATTTTAAATTAGCCAAATTTATAAATACGTAATAAGGCATAAATTTAACTAAACTCAGTATTGAGTTTGCATAGTAGATACTTAATTTAGCAATCATCCTATATATATTTTAAAAAAAAATTTTGATCATTCATCTTTATCTTTATATATTGTTATCATTAGAATTTTGGATAAGTTGAGTTAACTCACAAGTCAGATAAGCTGAGTTAAGTTTAAATTAAGTTGAGTTTATATTTTTTTGACTTGATGATTTGCAAGTCAAATCAAATTTAAGTCGAGTTAAATATTTAACTCAACTCAATTTAAACTCGATTTAAACTTGACTCGACTCAAGTTGACTTGAAACAACATTATTAATAAATTAACATTTTAAAACTATAAAATTTATATATTATAATAATTAAAATATTTTATAATAGTTAAAAATTCAAATTTATTTTATTAATTTAAATTATTAATTTTAAATT